CGTCTCTCACTCTACGCTGGTTGCTGTTTGATCGCGTCACCAAAAATGTCATTATTCGGTACAATTTATTCGGCCGAACACCGAAAGAACTTTTTTTGCTATTTTCAACCAAATCATTTATGTGTTTCCTCTGCATTGCAAAGATGACTTTTATTGATACTGATTTCATTTGCTTGGTAACAGCCCCAAATGTCTTTTTATTCTAATTCACTGATTAAATGTAAGAATTTGACTCAAAGGATAATGCACACTTTTAGAAAAATGGCTTTATAAAGGTAAAAATGCCTTAATTTCTATCAGTGTGAACTGACCACCACACAGAATATGAAGAATATCAAAAACTTCAGGAGTCAGCTGTCCACGGTAGTCCTTAAGATGTATCGTCTAATTATCGTTATCGATAAAATCCCAGAAAATATCGAGATATTATTTTTTGTCCATATCGCACACCCCTACTTCAACTCCAACCATGCGTCAGCTCCTGTCTGGAAAGAAGCTGTTTTTAACATTGATAATATGATTGAAACATATGTTTCTTGAGCATCAAATCACCAATAAAATGATTTCTGAAGGATCATGTGACACTCATGTGAAGCCTGGAATTATGACTGCTGAAAATTCAACTTTGCCATCACAGGAATAAATTACATTTTAAAATATATTACAATAGAAAACAGTTATTTTAATTTCAAAATATTACTACTGTATTTTAATCAAATAAATGCATCCTTGGGGAGCATTAGAGACTTCGTTTAAAAACATTACAAAATCTTACTGACCCCAAACTTTTGAACAGGAATGTATACGTGTTGTCTTGTGCTGTTGTCACTTTGCTCAGTCTGATATGAAACTTGTAATGTTTTTATTCACATTTTATATTAATATTTGCACTGGTGATTGGGTATCATTATGCAAAGTGCGAGTATAGAGGAAACTAAAGTTGAATCTAATCAGCTTTATGTTTGTAATATGTAAATTGGTCTTGTTAATCTGTTGCTTAGCTGTTGTATTGTGTATAACTTGAGTGTGTGTGTGTTTTCAGGGCGACTGGATGTCAGGCTGATGGGTTGTCAGGACCTGCTGGAGTCAGTTCCAGGCCGCTGTCGGGTAAGTAACATGTCCTCCGCCCCTGGAAGTCCCTCTGAGTCCAAATCACTGAGGATGAGAACCGGCCTCTCCACCCGCAGCACGAACGGCAAGACCACCAAGACTGATGAGCTCTCATGTGAGTTTCTCAGGGAAAGCAATGTGAAATATAAGGGATTTCACAATAGTCTTTGGACAATGACAGAAGAAAACCTGTATCTGTATTTTTCTACCATGTCCAAATAAATGAATTTAAAATAGACTTGATTGACTTTAATCAAAGATTTTTTTTACTTAAGCTTAATTCTTATGCGACAGTAATTGAAAAAAAAAAATGCTTCTATAATCTTTTTTTCTTTTAATGCGTTTTCTCTCAGCGGAGATCAGCGCTGTATTGAAGGTGGATAACAAGATAGTTGGTCGCACACATTGGCAGCCGCTGAGTAAGGAGGCCTGGAATCAGAGCTTTAGCATCGAACTCGAGCGGGTCAGTGCCAACAAATTCTACTGCATACTTCATAGACATATCGTAAATAACATATCTAGTTTTGAATTCAGATCAGGAGCTCACTCTGAATGCACACCATAATCTCAGACTCCTTGCTGGGTGCTTTTACAGCATGCCATTTATAACTGTCAGTTATCTCAGGCAACACTTGCTACATCTGTTTTATGGAAAGTGCCTGTGAAGGCCATTGGCTAAAGGCTTTTCCTCACCTTCATTAACACAGCTTTCAGCCGCCTCCAGAGTAATCCAAACTAATCCCTCAACATTACTGTAATCTTTTGCGCACCCCTTGGACATAGACACTCAGCCTGAATACTGGCCAAGTCAGCCCTCAGCTCTCTCCAAGCTGATTCAGCTGTACCGGTGGAGAATGAGATCTTATTTCATTATTTCTAGATTACTGAAGCAATTTTTCTCTCAAAGGCTGTGCTTCACATTTGTTTGATGAATGGGGAAGCATTTAGCTGTATCTCTCTTGGAGGTTTTGATTGTCTTTGACACCAAGTTATGTTTTCTGACTTCTAACTAAGTGTGCACATGATGTATCTCAAGAAATGTGCCAAGAAATTGTTTTAACAGGAAGTCTTTCCGTAATCAGTTATGCACATCATGCCTCAGGAATCCAGGATTCTGATTCATGATCTGGAATGTAATCATTATGGAAGTGTTATTATACACAGTGATAATTATAACAGCTTCAACTGCTTTGTTTAATAGTACAATCCTTAAAAGTCATGTTTCAGTTTTAATCAAATTATAATTGCCATATTTTATTTACTATGTTTTTACTGTACACTACTAGATACATTACATTACTGTATTGTTTATACATTTTGGGGTCTGGAAGATTTTTTTTTCTTTCTTCCAATTAATACTTTTATTTAGCGACCATGTATTAAAATGCTCAAAAGTGACATTTATAATATTACAGATTTATAGAAATAATATTTCTTTCACAAATAATTGCTGTTCTTTTGAATGTTCTATTTATCAAGAAGCTTGAAAAAATGTATCTCCATTTCTACAAAAATATTAAGCAGCACAGCTCTTTTCAACACTGATAAAAAGAAATGTTACTTGAGCACTTAATCAGCATATTAAAAAGATTTCTGAAGGACCATGCAACACTGAAGACTGAAGTAATGATGCTGAAAAGTCAGCTTTGCCATCACAGGAATAAATGACTATTTTAAGTTATATTAAACTAATATAATATATGTTGTTTACATGATTTTTTAAAATTGTAATAATATTTCCCATTAAATAAAATGAGACTTCTTTAAAAAAAAAAAAAAAAAATTACCAACCCCAGGCTTTCAAATGGCGATGTAAGGACCATTATGAAGTGTAAAGGGGCAAGAGCTAGAACTACAGTTGATATCTGAGAGTGTGGGGATTTGTAACTGCAGGTTACATGTATTCATGTCCTGCATTAAATACATCTAAATGCCTCTTCAGATGCAGCTTCTGTGTTTCCTCTGCATGCAAAGATGAATTTTGTTGATAATGATTTCATTTGCTTGGTAACAGCCCCAAATGTCTTTTTATTCTAATTCACTGATTAAATGTAAGAATTTGACTCAAAGGATAATGCACACTTTTAGAAAAATGGCTTTATAAAGGTAAAAATGCCTTAATTTCTATCAGTGTGAACTGACCACCACACAGAATATGAAGAATATCAAAAACTTCAGGAGTCAGCTGTCCACGGTAGTCCTTAAGATGTATCGTCTAATTATCGTTATCGATAAAATCCCAGAAAATATCGAGATATTATTTTTTGTCCATATCGCACACCCCTACTTCAACTCCAACCATGCGTCAGCTCCTGTCTGGAAAGAAGCTGTTTTTAACATTGATAATATGATTGAAACATATGTTTCTTGAGCATCAAATCACCAATAAAATGATTTCTGAAGGATCATGTGACACTGAAGCCTGGAATTATGATAAATTCAACTTTGCCATCACAGGAATAAATTACATTTTAAAATATATTACAATAGAAAACAGTTATTTTAATTTCAAAATATTACTACTGTATTTTAATCAAATAAATGCATCCTTGGGGAGCATTAGAGACTTCGTTTAAAAACATTACAAAATCTTACTGACCCCAAACTTTTGAACAGGAATGTATACGTGTTGTCTTGTGCTGTTGTCACTTTGCTCAGTCTGATATGAAACTTGTAATGTTTTTATTCACATTTTATATTAATATTTGCACTGGTGATTGGTATCATTATGCAAAGTGCGAGTATAGAGGAAACTAAAGTTGAATCTAATCAGCTTTATGTTTGTAATATGTAAATTGGTCTTGTTAATCTGTTGCTTAGCTGTTGTATTGTGTATAACTTGAGTGTGTGTGTGTTTTCAGGGCGACTGGATGTCAGGCTGATGGGTTGTCAGGACCTGCTGGAGTCAGTTCCAGGCCGCTGTCGGGTAAGTAACATGTCCTCCGCCCCTGGAAGTCCCTCTGAGTCCAAATCACTGAGGATGAGAACCGGCCTCTCCACCCGCAGCACGAACGGCAAGACCACCAAGACTGATGAGCTCTCATGTGAGTTTCTCAGGGAAAGCAATGTGAAATATAAGGGATTTCACAATAGTCTTTGGACAATGACAGAAGAAAACCTGTATCTGTATTTTTCTACCATGTCCAAATAAATGAATTTAAAATAGACTTGATTGACTTTAATCAAAGATTTTTTTACTTAAGCTTAATTCTTATGCGACAGTAATTGAAAAAAAAAAATGCTTCTATAATCTTTTTTTCTTTTAATGCGTTTTCTCTCAGCGGAGATCAGCGCTGTATTGAAGGTGGATAACAAGGTAGTTGGTCGCACACATTGGCGGCCGCTGAGTAAGGAGGCCTGGAATCAGAGCTTTAGCATCGAACTCGAGCGGGTCAGTGCCAACAAATTCTACTGCATACTTCATAGACATATCGTAAATAACATATCTAGTTTTGAATTCAGATCAGGAGCTCACTCTGAATGCACACCATAATCTCAGACTCCTTGCTGGGTGCTTTTACAGCATGCCATTTATAACTGTCAGTTATCTCAGGCAACACTTGCTACATCTGTTTTATGGAAAGTGCCTGTGAAGGCCATTGGCTAAAGGCTTTTCCTCACCTTCATTAACACAGCTTTCAGCCGCCTCCAGAGTAATCCAAACTAATCCCTCAACATTACTGTAATCTTTTGCGCACCCCTTGGACATAGACACTCAGCCTGAATACTGGCCAAGTCAGCCCTCAGCTCTCTCCAAGCTGATTCAGCTGTACCGGTGGAGAATGAGATCTTATTTCATTATTTCTAGATTACTGAAGCAATTTTTCTCTCAAAGGCTGTGCTTCACATTTGTTTGATGAATGGGGAAGCATTTAGCTGTATCTCTCTTGGAGGTTTTGATTGTCTTTGACACCAAGTTATGTTTTCTGACTTCTAACTAAGTGTGCACATGATGTATCTCAAGAAATGTGCCAAGAAATTGTTTTAACAGGAAGTCTTTCCGTAATCAGTTATGCACATCATGCCTCAGGAATCCAGGATTCTGATTCATGATCTGGAATGTAATCATTATGGAAGTGTTATTATACACAGTGATAATTATAACAGCTTCAACTGCTTTGTTTAATAGTACAATCCTTAAAAGTCATGTTTCAGTTTTAATCAAATTATAATTGCCATATTTTATTTACTATGTTTTTACTGTACACTACTAGATACATTACATTACTGTATTGTTTATACATTTTGGGGTCTGGAAGATTTTTTTTTCTTTCTTCCAATTAATACTTTTATTTAGCGACCATGTATTAAAATGCTCAAAAGTGACATTTATAATATTACAGATTTATAGAAATAATATTTCTTTCACAAATAATTGCTGTTCTTTTGAATGTTCTATTTATCAAGAAGCTTGAAAAAATGTATCTCCATTTCTACAAAAATATTAAGCAGCACAGCTCTTTTCAACACTGATAAAAAGAAATGTTACTTGAGCACTTAATCAGCATATTAAAAAGATTTCTGAAGGACCATGCAACACTGAAGACTGAAGTAATGATGCTGAAAAGTCAGCTTTGCCATCACAGGAATAAATGACTATTTTAAGTTATATTAAACTAATATAATATATGTTGTTTACATGATTTTTTAAAATTGTAATAATATTTCCCATTAAATAAAATGAGACTTCTTTAAAAAAAAAAAAAAAAAATTACCAACCCCAGGCTTTCAAATGGCGATGTAAGGACCATTATGAAGTGTAAAGGGGCAAGAGCTAGAACTACAGTTGATATCTGAGAGTGTGGGGTTTTTTTTCTGCTCCTCACATGACCTTTGACCCCTGTAGTCTCGGGAGCTGGAGATTGCGGTGTACTGGCGAGACTGTAGGTCCATGTGTGCTGTGAAGTTCCTGCGTTTAGAAGATTTTCTGGACAACCAGCGGCATGGCATGTGTCTTTATCTAGAGCCACAGGGCACACTGTTCACAGAGGTGAGAGAACCTCTCGTTACCTTCATCCTAGTGCCAAATCATGTTACAGCACAAATGCAGAGTGAGGTTACAGTTTACAACTGCTATGTATTTCATTCATTTAGTATGTTCTGCAGAGGTTGATGCTTTAATACACAGTGCATATTGTGAGCTATTCATTGTGTGGTTTGCTTTCAGGTGAGATTCAACAATCCTGTCATTGAGCGACATCCTAAACTACAACGACAGAAACGGATTTTCCCAAAAGAAAAAGGTGTGCTTGACCTCACATTTTCTCTATTGTCCTCATAGAGGGTCTGTTACTCATAAGCGATTGCCATAATCTCTCTCATATTCTCTTGATTGTTTTCAAAACTCAAGTGTGACATTATGCTGTGCTGTCAAGTTCAGTGTTTACAAAAGATGTTTCAGACTAATACATCATGTTATTTGCATATTAAATAGCTGATTTAATGTTTCTCTCAGGGAAAAATTTTCTGCGGGCAGCACAGATGAATATGAACTTTGCCACTTGGGGGCGTCTAATGATGAGCGTGCTGCCCCCCTGCAACAGCACCGTCACCGCCTTGAGCCCTCCTCTGCCCGGCTCTGAGCCCATGTCCCCTCCAACTGTGTCCACGCCTCCTTCCTCTGGGTGAGACATACGCAGGTGTCCCTGGGGTTTGGTTGAGGAAAATATATCCATTAATCTGTATAAAAACGTGATTCTCTTTCTGCGTTGTGGCTGTTTATCACAGAGACTCAGCAGTTGTTAAACTGAATTTCAGTGAGGAGCGTCCTGCCAAGCCCCTGCGCCTCCACTTGGCACAGAACCCCACGACTGACGCATCACTTTCTGCGGTACGTCTTGTAGACAAACACTTGCTTTTTAATGTGTAGTTCTGTATTGCTCTGGTCAAGTTAGTGTTGTAATTATGTGTTTTGGGACACATTTCCCAGACTCCTGCCACAGTGAATTCCTCTGAGGATAACCAAGTTCTCAAAGGCAGGCCTGTGTCCCAGCCTACACCTCAGTAAGTCAATATGTTATTTATTAGTGCTATTATTATTATTGCTCAAATCTAAATCTGAATGATCCCTAACCTTGGGTCTTAAATTTCAACCTGTACGTCGCACATCTTACGATAGTGAAATTAATCTCGGATTCTCTTCCCTGTAATTGCTCTTTTTCTCAGTCTCACTGTATGGCGTATATATTCTGTTTCACAGGAGGGAAGAGGGGATGCAGATGGAGGACTTCAATTGCATTTCTGTATTAGGAAGAGGGCACTTTGGAAAGGTAAAACTGCAGCTGTCCTTCCGTACTGTAATCGGATAACTCTGGATGGTGCCGTTGGCTCAGTGTCATTGTCAACTCTCATTAAAGGTCCTGCTGGCTGAATTCAGGAGGACTGGGAAACTATATGCCATCAAAGCCCTGAAGAAAGGGGATGTTGTGACCCGGGATGAAGTGGACAGGTGATATTCTGTATCACAGAAATGTCTTCTTGTGCACAATGAATGGGTTATGGATAATTTGTTGTCTGTGGATATTTCTTGTGCAAAGCATTAACATAGTCTGAATGGGTCTGTGTGAAAAAATAAAATAACAAAAATATATACATTTGATATTTTTTAGCAAGGGACTGCTTGTAAGGGTATGTTTGTGGGTCCTTGGAATTGAGAAATTGTAGTTCCTTGGAACCGACAATAGTAAACCCTTCCAACTGTATTTGGCTTGTATAATATTGTGAATTCATTTTATTCTTTTATAGTTTAATATGTGAAAAGAGAATTTTTGAGACCATCAATGTGTTCCGTCATCCTTTCTTGGTGAACCTGTATGGGTGCTTCCAGACACCTGACCATGTGTGCTTTGTGATGGAATATTCACCTGGAGGAGACCTGATGACCCACATCCACAACAGCATCTTCTCTGAACGCCAGGCTAGGTACACACACACACACACACACACACACGCACAGGCTGTTTAATTACAGAGCATTTACATAAGTGCTACACTTGTTCACATGTTCTCAGACGCACACGCTGAATATTTTTAGCATTGTATATTTTTAGCATTGACACTTTCCTCTGGCTGTGACTGTAAACCAATGGTTTTTCTGGCAGGTTTTATTCTGCATGTGTATTACTAGGCCTGGAGTTTCTGCACCAAAACCGGATTGTATATAGGTAACTACACTATTATTTCTAATATTACTTAACTATTACTGAATTCCCTATTACATACGTGTATGAAATAATACATGTGATCTAATGTACGATTTCTCTTTTTCCTCTTTGTAGGGACCTAAAGCTGGACAATCTGTTAATGGATTCAGATGGCTTTGTGAGAATTGCAGATTTTGGACTTTGCAAAGAAGGTACATTCTCAAAATACCATGTCTCTCATAGATTTTTTTTGTTCATCTCAAATGACAATATTTGAGCAGAGAATCAACCAAGTCTTGCCGCCAATCAGGTATGGGACATGGCGACCGTACGTCAACCTTTTGTGGCACCCCAGAGTTCCTGGCCCCGGAGGTTTTGACAGACAGCACCTATACCCGTGCAGTGGACTGGTGGGGTTTGGGTGTGCTCATCTATGAGATGCTAGTGGGAGAGGTCAGTCCTGGTCAATACAGCTTTACTAAATTGTTGCTATATACTGTAATAATGTTTATGCATATTTACGATTTTTTTTTTTTTAAGAATTCAGCAAGGATGAATTCAATTGAAAGTAAAGACATTTCTAATGTTACAAACGTACATAAGTAAATAAATGCTGTTTTTATTCATCGAAGAACCATGAAAAAAGATAAGAGATGCATCTTGCATCCAAATCAGCATACTAAAATGAATTCTAAAGGAATACCTTTAAAGTGCCCCTATTATGGATCTTTCATGCAGTGTAACACAGCTCTAAGCGAATGAAAACATCCTGCAAAGTTTTAAATCTGAAAGTGCACCGTGTATAAAGTATTGTCTCTCAAAAGAAAGAGTCGACTCTGAATCATTGAAACGAGTCGTTTTTAAAACGAATCCCAAGCCGATTCATGTTGACGTCAACATGAAACATTAGCATATTGCCCGCCCACTTGTTGGTCTTTTCCCGTTGGTCTGAATGAAAATGCAAATTCATTCTTTGCCACTAGGTGCAGCTTTTGGAGCGGTAAAAATAGCTGTTTCCCCGGTAACGCTGTACACAAAGCAGCACTGCGCTCACAAACGCTGCTTTATCAGGCATTACAGGCATGATGAAATGAAAATGAGACCAATTGGACCAATCACCGCAGATTAGCATCACGCAACGGAGGGGTTTGGAAAAATGAATCGTTAAACAAATCGTTTGGGAGTCGTTGAGCAAATAAGGTAAAAATAAATGCATATTATATGAACAATGAAAGTGTTTTTTGACCTTGCATGAATGTCAACCTGTTGTTGGGGACCCCCTAAAACCAAAATATGAACCTTTCATAACCCATAATAGGGGCACTTTAAGACTGGAGTAATGACTGCTGAAAATTCAGCTTTGCCATCACAGGAATAAATTACATTTTAAAATAGAAATCAATTAATATAAATTGTAACAACATTTCACAAGGTTATATTTTTACTATATTTCTGGTCAAATAAATGCAGTTTTGGTGAGCATAAGAGACTTCTTTTAAAAGCATTAAGAAATCTTATCCTTTGAACAGTAGTGTAATGTATTATCTTGTGGCTGCCAGTCTCCATTCCCCGGTGATGATGAGGAGGAGGTGTTTGACAGCATAGTGAACGATGAAGTGCGCTACCCCAGGTTTTTGTCCCCCGAGTCAGTCTCTATAATACAAAAGGTAACAACTTCTCGCTCTTGGAGAAAAACAAATTGAAATCCAGTTGACACTCAGTCTCTGACTCCGTCTCTTTAATGGCAGTTGTTGCAGAAGAACCCTGAAAAACGACTGGGAGCAGGAGAGCAAGACGCCAATGAAGTGAAGAGACACAGGTTCTTCCAGGTGACAGTCACTAACTGAAGAATTTTTGACTACCTTGGTTTAAATTCTCTTTTTAAAAGCCCCGTTCCTCTCCACAGGGCATAGACTGGGAAGCCCTGTTGGCCAAAAGAGTCAAACCTCCTTTCCTTCCGTCAATAAAAGCCCCAGCAGACGTCAGTAACTTTGACGAGGAGTTCACGCGCCTGAAGCCTGTTCTGACCCCTCCGCAGACCCCGTTCTTCCTCACCACCGAGCAGCAGGAGTTCTTTGCAGACTTTGACTTCTCGGCCCTGCACTGACTTCCACTCGATTACCCTCGGAAGTGGTTGTGACCTATCAAATCTCTGCTTTCTTTTCTCTCTGTCTTCTTCATCCAATTATTCTCTCTCGTCCTCCCTTGAGTTATGCTGTGGAATCGAGTGAAGCTGGCCTCGTGTCACCCTTTAAGAGCTGCTGTACGCTTTTCGTGAAACTGTCTGCAAATGTGTGCTTAAGCTCCAAAGACAGTCCTGATGGACTTTAAAACCATACGATCACCCCTGACCAGAACTGTGAGTAAGCTCAGATCTGCTCAGCTTTTAACTGCCCATCCCTGATATTCAAACATGCATTTATTAATGTACATTAGTTTTTGGGTTGGGTTATACTGTTTAAAAAAAAAAAAAAAGAGAAGTCTCCCTGTTACACTAAATTATGATGCCAAAATATACTTGCACTGTTGCTGAACAGATAATGATGGTCAAATTGAGATGGAAGGACGAAATGCTGTGCCGCTTTTAAGGATTTCTGATGCAGGCAGATCTGTCTTAAGCTCCTTAAGTTCCAGACTGTAACTATCAGAGTGTGTTCTCAGTGTAAGATCATGCAAATTCCTCCATGCTTAGTCTATGTGATGTATGTTCATGTTAAACCCTCACATTTTGATCTCTGGTTGTCCCTAATCTGGATTTGATTTCGGATTGGTGCCCCAGATAAATGTTGCTTGTTGATTTTGGACCAGTTCTCAACTTTCCAAACCGAGCTCTTTACTGTACTTGCAGAAGTCTTGTGACTTTCGGTTGCTCTGTCCTGCCTTTCTCTTTATAGTCCTCCTCTGGACAAATCGAAGACTGCTGAATTAGACCAAGCATATTCTACTTGACGTCTTAGCATGATACGTTTAGCACATTAACTCGCTAAGCTGAAATTGAAACATTCAACTGTTTTTGCTCTGCGTCATCTAACAGAAGCTCATTACGTTGTTCGCTATTTAAGGTGTTTGTATTTTACTTTTGACTACATTTGGCTACCATTGTAAATGTGGTTTACTACTGATAAGTTACACTGTGAACAAAATGACACTAAAATATTTAAATGAAACTTGCCATTTCTATGAGCCCCATGAAGGATAATTAAATATCTAAGTCAATGTAACTGAACGGGATGAATGTATTTTCAGAAATAAAATACAGTGTGATCATGTTGTTCAGTTTATTGAACACTGATGTTTCAAAATATTACATTGAGGAAATTTTTTTTGCATAACTTTGATCAAAACGGCGCAAATCAGTCATGAAATCTCAGCATTAATATTGATACTTGAAAAACACTCAAGTGCAAAAGTTAAGGAAGCAATTTAAAGAAACTGAAATAAAGTAAAAGCAAAAACAATTATTGCTTTTATGACTGTATATTATTCTGAGAATATTCTAACTAATGTTTGTTAAAGTCACACTATGTGGACTTTAGATCTGTGGAACTGAGATCTAACAGTCAAAGGAGTCACATGCACTTACATCTTTCTTTCTTTCTTTCTTTAAGATGCTGATGTGTCATAGGAAAGGCCCTGTTTATATAAAAATATAAAGTTTTGCTTAAAAAAATGTCTGTAATGTTGAACAGTTTGTATTCTAAATTCAGTCTTTTAATGTTAATTTCTCTCGTTTAATGTATTGATTGTTATGTTGAGATAAATCGGTACATTTAATGTTATAAAGTCACATTACAAGCGTATTGAAATTTCACCACTGATATATAAAGTGCTATAGGAAATGATTTGTATTATAAACATGAACTTCTTGTTACCCTGTCTGAAATGGATCTTAAAAGGGGATGTCAATTTTCTTAAAAATATGTATATACAACTGACTGTATTTCACAAGTTCAATAATTGCACAAAATCATTTCTGATGTAACAGTACATCATCTGCTGCTGCTATAAAATAAGCTGACAGACTGTCTAGTTTAATTACTTTTGTCCAACAGCTTTTTAGTACCATGAAAGAGAGATTATATGAGCAGAGCCAAGATAATAAATAATTAGCATATACAATTTTAATATCTCATCTATGTATTGCATTAATGGGAAACCACAATTCAGCTCTGAAACGCTACTGTGATTTTGTGCTTTTTGTTCTGCGTTTGCTATTAAAATGTGTAAAATCAGCACAGACGAATTGTCAAAGTTCTATGTGGGCAAAATATTCACAAAACACCTTTATAAAAATGCTCATTCCAACCTATTTGATAACACTTGATCAAACATCATTGCAACTACAAAGTTCATGCATTTAAAAATCGCTTTCAAAATGGAATGGGTCATTCACAAGGAAAAAGTAGATTAGATGTTCTGCAGATGCAGTTTGGAGCGATTTCCACCAAAACATCAACTTCCATCTAATGGGTTATTTGTCACAGCAGTCGTGACTCCAAGGGAATTAAATAGGATCGTTGCCTTGCTTGAAATACACGTGCTCCCAAACCACCGGTTCCCAAACGCAGAAGAAGCCCCAGAGATTACGCAGGGTTCCGCGGTCAAAAGGGTTTTCGTCCACACCGCAGTGCTTGAGGTAAGAGATTCTGTGTCGAGACATGAACTCCCATGTGGTGGTATTCAGCGACACCAGGTACAGGTGAGAGCCCAGAAGGAGAAGCACGGTCAGGGACAGGACAGCCACGACCGCCGCTGCTCCCAGGAGCACACCGTTGGTCCTCAACCACAGCTGCCAGGTGGGAGCGTGACTGAAGCCAGACCTGTACGAGATTTAACAGTAAACTCTGAACTGTGGGATGTTCTTCAGCCCAGATGAAAGATTTTTGTTTCTAGACACTTTAAAGGGTTAGTTCACCCAAAAATGAATGTCATTAATTACTCACCCTCATGTCGTTCCAAACCCGTGAGACCTTCGTTCATCTTCGGAACACAAGCTGAGATATTTTTGATGAAATCCGAGAGCTTTCTGACCCTTCATACAGCAATGCAATGCAACTAACATGTTCAAGGCCCAGAAACGTAGTAAGGATATCGTTACAATAGTCACATGGACTATTTGAATTATGTCCTGACTATTTTAATGATGTCCTTATTATCTTTCTAGGCCTTGAACGTGTTAGTTGCGTTGCTGTCTACAGGGATTAAAGTGTTCCGTCGCTATGACGGATTTCCGTCCGTTCATAAAGACAGCCACTTGCTTCATTCCTGAATGATTCAGCCGCTCTTTATGAACTGACGGAAATCCGTCGTAGCGACAGAACACTTTAATCCCTGTGTCTATGCAGGGTCAGAAAGCTTGTTTATTTCATCAAAAATATCTTAATTTGTGTTCCGAAGATGAACAAAGGTCTTACGGGTTTGGAACGACATGAGGGTGAGTAATTAATGACAGATTTTATATTTTTGGGTGAACTATTCCTTTAATCTTAATGAAATGGTTTGGGATCACCTTTTAGAGTTAAAAAGCATGGAAACTAATACATTTAGGACTATTATGTCCATTGGCACTGCTGGACATCCCAGGTCATGATATACTGTATAAGTTCTACTCACCAGGCCATGTACAGTCCCCACAGTAAGACAACAAGCTGGACAGCCAGATAAAGCACAAACCAGCGGTGGTTTCTCTCCCCAATGCAGTTCTCTATCCAGGGGCAGTGGTGATCATAGCGCCGCACACAATGCTGACACGTCTGGCAGTGTTTGGATCTCATGGGTTGCTACGTCAAAGCATGGGTTCATTTTTAGAAGGGATTCATTATTAGAAACAAATTAAGCTATCTTGCCTTTGCATAAATATAGGTTATTGTAAACGAAAACGACAAACTAAATCTAAATTTTTTATAAAAAATTTTATTTTTATTAACTTAAAAAACATTATTAAAATAAAATTTACTGTAGATTTCATTTTAGTTGCAGCATTAAAATTTAATGATTTAAACCTCTATATTTATGTATATGGTCCATCTTTAATAAGTGACAACACACCTGTACCAAACAGTGTCCACAGCGCCGGGGCCGTATGGACTTGGTGGTCTGTGGAATCATATCCTGTGTTTCTTCTGCGATACCAAGTGTGAACTGAAATACAGTCAAATGATGCATGTTTGCTGTAAAATCAGCGTTAAACATGCAAACTGCTGGGGGTTTGTGATATATATACATACAGGGGTTTGGCTGACAAAAATACTTGGGAATCCGTGTATTAACTGACCTGCAAGTCACAGTCATCAGACAGGACAAAACCAGGATCCATGAGCGAAACTGCAAAGTACAGCAACACGGACACCAGAACCAGCAGCACAAAGAGAACTGGCAGTGTGAGCTCCCCCGTCTCCTCCTGTTTGCGGAGGTCTGCGTGGAAGCACAATAGTGTAGTAGAGTGGAATACAGTGGCGCAGAAATTAGAGATGAACAGAGCATAGCAGAACATAAGAGTAATAGAATATATTAGAGTAAAAAAAATAAAACATAGTGGAGTGGAATAGTGCAGAACTGTGGATGCCCAATAAAGGCTGGAATACACTACATGACATCTGAACAGATTTGAAAACATTAGGCATCATACACTATGTAAACAGTAAGAGGGAAAAAAATAGGCAACATACACTAAACGACTGAGGATCACACATTACCAGACTTTCCGAACACAAACTCACACAGAAACGCTGCTAGGATGACAAATAAAAACAACGTGTTCTAAAATCGTGTGTGTTCTACAATGTTTGATATCCTCAGAATGGATATAATCCTTGTCTCAAATGCCTGCGTGGAAGCACAATAGTGTAGTAGAGTGGAATACAGTGGCGCAGAAATTAGAGATGAACAGAGCATAGCAGAACATAAGAGTAATAGAATATATTAGAGTAAAAAAAATAAAACAGTGGAGTGGGATAGTGCAGAACTGTGGATGCCCAATAAAGGCTGGAATACACTACATGACATCTGAACAGATTTGAAAACATTAGGCATCATACACTATGTAAACAGTAAGAGGGAAAAAAATAGGCAACATACACTAAACGACTGAGGATCACACATTACCAGACTTTCCGAACACAAACTCACACAGAAACGCTGCTAGGATGACAAATAAAAACAACGTGTTCTAAAATCGTGTGTGTTCTACAATGTTTGATATCCTCAGAATGGATATAATCCTTGTCTCAAATGCAATTTTATATAAAATCTGTCAACTCCAACTTCCCAAAATCTGCAGACTGGCTTTGACTACTGGCAACTAACCCCAACTTGATCAGACAGTAAATTGTGGCAAAAATCTGGGCAAAAGTCTTTTGCCATATTTTTGATTTTATCTTATAATTACTACTTATTATATGTCAATGTCAACTTAGTACCTCATAATTTTAATTTGACCATAATTAAGATTTTTGGTTAACTTTTTCATCTCATAATTTTTATTTCATAATTGATTTTAGCATCTTATAATTTCAACTCTATCATAAGTTCTACTTTTTTATGTCATTTTGACTTTGTCATAACTTAGTATCTCATCATTTAACTTTTTGTCTCTTAATTCCAGCAGAGTGAAAGTGTGCAGTAGAACAGAAACGCATGTAGCAGAGAACAGAATGTAACAGAGTGTGCTAGAGTAGAATAGTTATAGATCATCTAAACGTTGTCTGGTAAAGGAAGTGGCGATGCAGATACAGGTGTGAGGCAGCGTTATGTACATCATATAGCTACTGTAGCCACACAATAACAGGTCTGTAGGTGGGACAGATATACTCACAGTAGAATCAGCATCTCTCAGGAGCACTTACCGGTGTCGTGGAGGAAGAGAATCAACGTTATAACCCATGTCAAGATGACATGAGCGGTCCTCACCAGGAATCCCGATCCGAACACATTTTTGAACATCCTAGCATACTTCTATATACGCCTAAGCATGCATCTGCTGTGTGCTCGTAATGAAATGCATCTTATTCTCAGACTCACAGACCTCTATAGGCAGCTAGCTGTGTTAGCCAGCTCATAAGAAACCCAGTTAACGTTACATTCCTGCTGTCAAGTGAGGTCCTACGCGTCGCACGCTAAATTCCAGAACAAGAACCATTTTAACCACAATATTTCACCCTAGCGTGGAACTTTGTCTGCTGCAGCAGACTATACCATCGTAACGCAACCGAAGCGCGGTATTTCATTTAGATACTGTGTTTCATAGACATCATATTTATTATGTCTATGCTGTGTTTCTCTCGCTCTAATAAGCTTGTTGATTCCGTTCCGCTGTCACGTTTCCTATTGGTCAGCTGTGGTCATGTGACGTTTCGGCTTCAAACTGGGATGCAAAGGCAGAGCCGAAGGAAAAGAAAAGTAGAAAACACAGTATCTGAACTGTAAGTGGGTATATGATTTTATTGCTATTGTAAAGTAAAGTAAAATAAAAATGATATGCTATGCAATACGCGGCGATACAAATACTAATACAAATATCACATTGTATTTTTCAATCATACAACAACCATTTTTTTTATAAAGAATTTATTCTGCTCTAACCTTTTGAAAAATTATATATAATTATGTAACAATAATTGGGATCAGTAAGATTTGTTTTAATGAAATGAATAGTTTTATTCAGTAAGCAGAGTGAAAGTGTGCAGTAGAACAGAAACGCATGTAGCAGAGAACAGAATGTAACAGAGTGTGCTAGAGTAGAATAGTTATAGATCATCTAAACGTTGTCTGGTAAAGGAAGTGGCGATGCAGATACAGGTGTGAGGCAGCGTTATGTACATCATATAGCTACTGTAGCCACACAATAACAGGTCTGTAGGTGGGACAGATATACTCAAAGTAGAATCAGCATCCCTCAGGAGCACTTACCGGTGTCGTGGAGGAAGAGAATCAACGTTATAACCCATGTCAAGATGACATGAGCGGTCCTCACCAGGAATCCTGATCCGAACACATTTTTGAACATCCTAGCATACTTCTATATACGCCTAAGCATGCATCTGCTGTGTGCTCGTAATGAAATGCATCTTATTCTCAGACTCACAGACCTCTATAGGCAGCTAGCTGTGTTAGCCAGCTCATAAGAAACCCAGTTAACGTTACATTCCTGCTGTCAAGTGAGCTCCTACGCGTCGCACGCTAAATTCCAGAACAAGAACCATTTTAACCACAATATTTCACCCTAGCGTGGAACTTTGTCTGCTGCAGCAGACTATACCATCGTAACGCAACCGAAGCGCGGTATTTCATTTAGATACTGTGTTTCATAGACATCATATTTATTATGTCTATGCTGTGTTTCTCTCGCTCTAATAAGCTTGTTGATTCCGTTCCGCTGTCACGTTTCCTATTGGTCAGCTGTGGTCATGTGACGTTTCGGCTTCAAACTGGGATGCAAAGGCAGAGCCGAAGGAAAAGAAAAGTAGAAAACACAGTATCTGAACTGTAAGTGGGTATATGATTTTATTGCTATTGTAAAGTAAAGTAAAATAAAAATGATATGCTATGCAATACGCGGCGATACAAATACTAATACAAATATCACATTGTATTTTTCAATCATACAACAACCATTTTTTTTATAAAGAATTTATTCTGCTCTAACCTTTTGAAAAATTACATATAAAATTATGTAACAATAATTGGGATCAGTAAGATTTGTTTTAATGAAATGAATAGTTTTATTCAGTAAGGATGCATTAAACTGATGAAGTGACAGTAAAGACATTTATGATTACAGTACATAAGTAAAATAAGATTGCTGTCTATTTGAACTTTCTATTGATCATAAAATCTATTCATCATTAAAATGACAACTGTTTTTAACATTAATAATAAGAAGAAATGTTTTTTTGAGCCCCACATTTCTGAAGAATCATGTGACACTGAAGACTGGAGTAAAGGCTGCTGAAAAGTCCGTTTTCGGTTACAGGAACAAGTTACATTTTAAAATATATTAAAATAGAAAACTTATTTTAAGGTATCATTTTACAATATTATAGTTTTTCCCCTGTTATTTTTGATAAATGCAGCCTTGGTGAGTAAAAATCTTACAGACCCCAAATTTTTCTTTATTTTTGAAATTTTTGTAAACATCCCTTTCAATTCCTTTAATATTTGCCTGGCCCTGGGCATGATGGAATCCTCAGTTGGAAACACTATGTAGTTTTAACAAGATTCTCTGCTTCATTCTCATCAAGTAGAAAGGGGGACTTCAAGTTCTTCTGTTTCAGCAGCTTTTCCAGACCCTGTAAAACACAGCGGTTAAAATATGACCGTGTGTCATGGAGGGAAAATGAAAAAAGGAGATAAAGAGATGGAGTGTTACAGCTGTCTCTTGAACTCTCTCCTGAGAACAGGAACACTACTCTGACATCATTCGCTCTGTTTCACATCATGCTCCATATGGTCACACTTGCTTGTTATTCTTTTTTCCCTCTGGTCCTCTTGCCTCTTTTTGTACTAACTGTAATATTTTGTAATCAAAGAACTATTTGCGAGACTCAAATATTTAACTTTTGTGATAAATATGTTAACCTAAAATCCTAAAACCAGACTGTTCATCAGTATTAGCAACTCCAGTTTAAAGCAAAGCTTTAAAAATTGCATACAAGTAGTCACATTTTTACCTCGCCAAAGTATGATACAAGTGGAGAGATTTCACAGATTGCAGGGGGGTCTTCATTCTGTGTCATACTGCAAAAGAAAGAGTAGACCAAGTTATTATAAACCACACACCATCTTAGGAAGTCAAAATTGTTCATTTTCTGCTTGAATGAGTAAATTCCTTTTAGGCATATTCCTTTCAGGTCATGCCAGTCAAAAGGTATTGCATTCATCACAAGAATGGAAATTTCTAGACCATATCCTGCTCTACATCTGGTGTAGTATAACTATAATACGTGAGGAACCTTGCAATATAGCATTTACTGTACATCAAGTCATTAAAGGGGTCATATGATGCTGCTAAAAAGAACATTATTTTGTGTATTTGGTGTAATGAAATGTTTATGCGGTTTAAAGTTAAAAAAACACATTATTTTCCACATACTGTACATTATTGTTTCTCCTCTATGCCCCGCCTTTTTGAAACGCGTCGATTTTTACAAAACTCATCGGTCTGAAAAAGCGAGGTATGCTGTGATTGGCCAGCTATCCAATGCGTTGTGATTGGCCGAATACCTCAAGCATGTGACGGAAATGTTACGCC